GTTTTGAATCATAATTGCATTGGGGGTTTTTGGATTCAGGTTGATTTGGCTTGACTGGAATGCAGGGTAGGCAGAGATTGTACTTGTGGCACAGATTTTTCCTTTGGTTGCATTGTACCGGTGAAGCTAAATCAAGAAAGTATTTGAAAGTATCTGACATATGTATTTGACCCAGGTCTAAATGCAGCAACAAAGCTTTGCAGCGCCATCATTGTCCAGCTATTTTTTCTCTGAAATGTCGTGCTTTAATCAGTCATCCCAAAGCAAAGGCCAGGAAATGAGAGTCTTCCCTCCTTCCTGGACACAAAGAGAGATACAGTGGACTCCTGTCGTAGCATCAAAGACTTTAGACGGAACCACATCCTGTTGGGCACAGGGGTCAAACGAAACAACCCAATCACTCTAATGGAGGAACAGGATCATTTGAATCCTAGCTCTGGTCCAGTGCACACTGCACACTTCTGTATTTTGATCATTAAGTTGTGTGTAATTGCATTCATATTCTTTACTGATTCTACCCATTTCTTTTTTTTCAAACTCTCCTGGAACATTCTCAAGCATTCACTTATTGCAGACAATAGTTCTTACATTTCACTCTGCTTTAATTCCTCTGCAGTGTGTATGAACATAGGACTTTTAACACTGGATGCTGATTGGCTTAGTTGAAGATTTTAGCAACAAGAATGTTCTCAGCTTATACAGTTTGGAATAAGGTAAACCAGGCCGACCTTATTGTGGGCCTCGTTGTTGCACATGTGGTGTTTCTGTTTATTACACAATATGTTCTGAGAAAAAGTGCTCAAAGCTTCCTGTCTCTTGCAGTAAAAATGAAGTGTGTATGTGTGTGTGAGAGGGAGAGAGAGGGAGTGAAAAAGACATCGAAACCAGAGATCCCAGGAAGCAGAGGAGAGGATGTGTCCAGGCATGTTCCCATCGTCCCTGTAAATGATTACCAGGAAGTGGAATTAGAGCTCAGAGGGAATGTCTCCTCTAAACGACTGTGAACTTTATCCCACTTTACTTTACTCAGGACTCTACTTTGGTGCACCCCCCCACATCCTCCTCCAGCACCCCATTGGTTCCTGCATGAATACACTACATCTTCATGCTTGTGTGACACTTTTGAATGTCTGTCAAAAGGGAAATAAAAGTATTATCTGAGTTTTTTCGCCCCCGCCTACCGGAGTCCTCCTTGTTAGCTAGCATGGTAGACGGGAGGCTAGGGCGACAACGACTACTAGCTAGCTTGATAGTTAGTGACACCGTGTGCTAGCTAGCTTGCTAGTTAGCTAGCACACGGTGTCGCCCCCGCCTCCCGCTTGCTGTGTACCAGTGTCCTCCTTAGGACTAGCTGGCTAAGCTAGCACACAGTGTCCTTCGCTCCCGCCAGCCAAACAGCTGCCCCCGCCGTCGTTAACAGAACTGCGGGAAAGCAGTGCCCTTCTTCTGTGAGGTTTATCTGTGGCTGGCATCCAACATTATTGTGCATTAACGCCACCTACTGTACTGGAGCGCCCCGGCCTCCCGCCTGTCCCTAATTAAAAAATGGACCAATAGAAGTATAAAGAGGGGTTCCTGCAGATATAGCCACATGCAGGAACGCCCCGAATTGCGCAATTTCACCCTTCTCAAGTATCTTGTGACTGTGCACGATGAGGACACCCTTGTGATGTCACTTATGGGAAAAAGTCTAAGAAGAGGAAGTGTGTGAGCGGAAGCTGTTGACACTCATGATTACCCTTGTTGCAATGATTTATTATTGAAATATTGAAATAGCATGGGCGACCGAGAAAAACAAATTGGTACAATTTAAGGCCAAGTGGCAAACAATAATTGAGGCACTAGGGATGGTAGTGTGAGCATGGGGGTCTGGGCAGATGAGATGTAGTCATTGTTTGTGTGTGTCTGTAAGTTGTTGTTCGTATTTATATGTTTGTATATGGAGTGTAAAAAATATATATATATATTAAAAAATAAACTATATATAATATATATATTTTTTAATGATTACCCTTGTTGCAAAGTGCAACCAGTGGTGTAAAGTACTTAAGTAAAAATACTTTCAAGTACTACTTAAGTAGTTTTTTTGGGTATCTGTACTTTACTTTACTATTTATATTTTTGCCAACTTTTACTTTTACTTCACTACATTCCTAGAGAAAATTATGTAATTTTTACTCCATACATTTTCCCTGACACCCAAAAGCACTCGTTACATTTTGAATGCTTAGCAGGACAGGAAAATGGTCTCATTCATACACTTATCAAGAGAACATTACATTTAAATTTTAGTCATTTAGCAGACGCTCTTATCCAGAGCGACTTACAGTTAGTGAGTGTGTAACAGTGTTGCTTCCGTCCCTCTCCTCGCCCCTACCTGGGCTTGAACTAGGGACCCTCTGCACACATCGACAACAGTCACCCTCAAAGCACCGTTACCCGTCGCTCCACAAAAGCCGCGCCCCTTGCAGAGCAAGGGAAACAACTACTTCAAGGTCTCAGAGCGAGTGACGTCACCGATTGAAATGCTACTAGCGCGCACCGCTAACTAGCTAAACATTTCACACCGGTTACAAGTGCATACATTTTTCATACTGGCCCCCCGTGGGAAACAAACCCACAACCCTGGCGTTTGCAAGCGCCATTCTCTACCAAGTGAGCTACAGGGGACCTGTCATCCCTGGTCATCCCTACTGCCTCTTGTTTGGGGGACTCACTAAACACATGCTTTGTTTGTAAATTATGTCTGAGTGTTGGATTGAGCCCCTGGCTATCTGTAAATAAAATAAAAAACAAGAAAATGTGGCCATCTGCTTTGCTTTATATAAGGAATTTGAAATGATTTATACATGTACTTTTACTTTTGATACTTAAGTATATTTTAGCAATTACATTTACTTTTGATACTTAAGTATATTTAAAATCAAATACTTTTAGACTTTTACTCAAGTATTATTTTACTGGGTGACTTTCACTTTTACTTGAGTCATTTTTTATTAAGGTATCTTTACTTTTACTCAAGTAGTACAATTGGGTATTTTTCCCACCATTGAGTGCAACCAGCTGTACTGCCTCTTAAAGTATACAGTGCATTTGGAAAGTATTCAGACCTCTTCCCTTTTTCCACATTTTGTTACGTTACAGCCTTATTCTAAAATTGATGAAATACATTTTTTTCCTCATCAAACTACACACAATACCCCCTAATGACAAAGAGAGAACAGGTTTTTAGAAATTGTTGCAAATGTATTACAAATTAAAAACAGAAACACCTTATTTACATACGTTTTCAGACCCTTCGCTATGAGACTCGAAATTGAGCTCAGGTGCATCCTGTTTCCATTGATCATCCTTGAGATGTTTCTACAACTTGATTGGTGTCCACCTGTGGTAAATTCAATTGATTGGACATGATTTGGAAAGGCACACACCTGTCTATATAAGGTCCCACAGTTGACAGTACATGACAGAGCAAAAACCAAGCCATGAGGTCGAAGGAATTGTCCGTAGAGCTCCGAGACAGGATTGTGATGAGGCACAGATCTGTGGAAGGGTACCAACAAATGTCTGCAGCATTGAAGGTCCCCAAGAACACAGTGGCCTCCATCATTCTTAAATGGAAGAAGTTTGGAACCACCAAGACTCTTCCTAGAGCTGGCCTGCACGGCCAAACTGAGCAATCGGGGGAGAATGGCCTTGGTCAGGGAGATGACCAAGAACCCAATGGTCACTCTGACAGAGCTCCAGAGTTCCTCTGTGGAGATGGGAGAACCTTCCAGAAGGACAACCATCTCTGCAGCACTCCACCAATCAGGCCTTTATGGTAGAGTGGCCAGACGGAAGCCTCTCCTCAGTAAAAGGCACATGACAGCCCGCTTGGAGTTTGCCAAAAGGCACCTAAAGGACTCTCAGACCATGAAAAACAAGATTTTCTGGTCTGATGAAACCAAGAAACTCTTTGGCCTGAATGCCAAGTGTCACGTCTGGAGGAAACCTGGCACCATCCCTACGGTGAAGCATGGTGGTGGCGGCATCATGCTGTGGGGATGTTTTTCAGCGGCAGGGACTGGGAGACTAGTCAGGATCGAGGGAAAGATGAACAGAGCAAGGTACAGAGAGATCCTTGATGAAAACCTGCTCCAGAGCGCTCAGGACTTCAGACTGGGCAAAGGTTCACAGTCCAACAGGACAACGACCCTAAGCACACAACCAAGGCAACGCAGGAGTGGCTTCGGGACAAGTCTCTGAATGTCCTTGAGTGGCCCAGCCAGAGCCCGGACTTGAACCCGATCGAACATCTCTGGAGAGACCTGAAAATAACTGTGCAGCGACGCTCCCCATCCAACCTGACAGAGCTTGAGAGGATCTGCAGAGAAGAATGGGAGAAACTCCCCAAATACAGGTGTGCCAAGCTTGTAGCGTCATACCCAAGAAGACTCAAGGCTGTAATTGCTGCCAAAGGTGCTTCAACAAAGTACTGAATAAAGATTATGAATACTTATGTAAATGTAATATTTCCGTTTTTTATTTTTAGTAAATGTGCAAAAATGTTTAAAACCTGTTTTTGCTTTGTCATTATGGGGTATTGTGTGTAGATTGATGAGGATAAAAAAAACCCATCAATTTTAGAACAAGGCTGTAACGTAACAAAATGTGAAAAAAGTCAAGGGGTATGAATACTTTCCGAATGCACTGTACATGCCTCCAATAAAACATATGGTTATATCAAGCAAAGACATAATGGAGAACTGATTGAAATCACACTTTGTTGACACAATTACCGTCAGATAGCAGGATGTATGTCTGGGGAAAGTTTGAGGGGTGGAATGTTCTGTCCCAGTCCCTGTTCTAAAAATCCCTGTTATTTCATTTTGCAGGTTTTCTTTCAGATTTCATAAGATTTCAAAATATTTGACGTGGTAAGTGTTGTCAAAATGTTCTATAGAATGGCTATACCTTTGCCATATCGTTGTGTTTCATGACAAATTCTATAATATTAGCTTTTCTCTTGTGTACTTCCTCCATGCAGTGGTGTGGAGGCCAAGATGTCATCGAAGATGCCAAGCTCTAACAACATAACTCAGGCCAGGAGGACAGTACAACAGCTAAAGATAGAGGCCAGTATTGAGAGGATAAAGGTACGGCATGCTGAAAGTAGAAAGCAGTGCTGAGTAACAAAGTAGATTTTACTGGTCCTTACCTAAATGTCTCCCTAAATGCACACCGACTTGCTACTAAGGATAGCCCAATGATCTGTTGTTAGTGTGTGTGTGTCTGTGTATGCACGTGTATGTGTGCTTGGGAGTCTGCATTAGGCTTGGGCGGTATCAAGATTGTCATACCTTCATACTGACCTTGTGCAATACTTGAGTCACTGAATACAAGGGTCACTTTTTTCAAACCCCACTGATCCTCTGTAATCCGAAGGTTAGCAATGCTAACAAGTACATGTACAAACCCATAGGGAATGCTAACTAAATGCTAACAAGCGCAATGCGAACATTTTATACAGTCTCTGACCTAAAGTATTTGCAGGACAGACATCCCAGCTCCTAAAGCTATACAAGTAACAAAAAAATGCAACCACAGTTTACTGCATGCACAAAACAAATATTAGACAGGAAGGCTCTTGATCCAGGAGCGGTATCTCTGCTGTTACCAAACGAAGCTTGATTTTGGAAGAAGCTAACCACTTAGCTAAATTGCTAACTAGCTACTAAATTACCAAACCAAATGCACAACTGCAGAGCATTTAAAACATTTTCGAAGGTTAACTTAATAATTATAAGATATCTAACTGGCAAACATTTAGTTGTGAATTCCATACTGTAACTAGATCACCTGGCGCGTGCTGCACAACAGTGAGTGACTCGCAAGGCTCCAGTCTATCATCATTGTGTGCTTGTATACAAACACCACATGACTTGGGACTACCGGTAAGCTTTATAATGAAAAATTATTTGACAGGTGAAATAAAGAACACAATCTTCATCTCCTAACGTATTGCACAAGTTGACTGCAGGTATTTACTTAAAAGGTAGCTACAAATATTATTATTATTTTATTTTTTTAAACAAACAAATAAATCGTTTTGATGGTATTGAAAAACCATCCTGTGGCTATTTCCAAATACCCCGGTATATGGTATATATGGTATGCCACCCAAGCATAGTGTGCATACATGTATGAGTGTGAGCATACAGACTCCCGTGTGAGCAGAACCCTCTCACCCACACACTCATGCACACTCTCTCATATCTCCTGTAGGTATCCAAGGCCTCAGCGGACCTCATGCACTACTGTGGCGAACATGCCAAGTACGACCCTCTGCTCATGGGCATACCTGCCTCAGAGAACCCCTTCAAGGACAAAAAGCCCTGCACTATATTGTAATGACCCCTTTATGTACCCTTTATGTACCTGCTTTTTAATGTTCCTGTATTTCTTTTTTTCTACTCATCCACCCATCATGCCTTAAAGCCTTAAAGCCCTTTAATGAAAACATTGTATTTTATCACTCACTTTGAATTTGCCATTGTTACAGACATAACATACAGTGCATCGATACAATACATAGTTCAAATATACCTTGGGACAGTGAGTTTTAATGTGTGTCTGATTTAGCTCAGTGGATTTAGCCGTGGTTTTCGTCCACCCCTTTAACAAGTCTGTTTTAATCGTATCTTCTGTCATTTGTATTACAATGACCTAATTTAATATATTTGAGGCTTTGGAGTCATGGTTGGGACATGTGGCTGTATTGTCTTCTTCCCATTGACTCGTGCCGCGTTCACGTGCTAGTCGGAAATAGGAAACTCAGAAATGTTCGACTTGCTAACTGGTTGAACAGGGCATGTGTATAACTACAACCAGTTAGCAAGTCGAAAATGTCAGAGTAACCTAGTTCGGACTAGCATGTGAACGCAGCTTCATGCTGTTTATTAATAACTTCCTGGTTCAGCAATAGAGGAAGCAGACCCAGGGACAAATATTTTCCAACATAGACATCATCAGAGCCCTCAACCTTCTATTAATGTAAAGAGCAGAAGTGTTTGGTTAGTGCTGAGGATATTTTAACTCAATGCCAATTGTCGGATGAGAAACTGCATTGTACAGCTGAGACAGGTCATTCACAACCTCAGTATACAGCACTCCACCCAGCCAGTTAAACCAGGTGTTACATAACAGAACACTGTGAGCCAAGTCGCCTTAACATATTTACGATAGTGATCATATAATCAATGTATAGGTTGGTATTTTAAAGAGGGGTTTCAGGTACAAGTATTCTGTTGGGCGAGACCATAGAAGGGGCATCAGCTGGGCACATGGGTTGCTATTAATGGTGTAATAAATTATTTTCACTCCAACTATGTGCACTATACCATGTATTTGAACAGCCTGGTCTCATAGACTAGAAGTAACATAGTAAACGTAAATCCGGGACACTCAAATTACACTGAAGAAAAATATAAACGCAACGTGAAGTGCTGGTCCCATGTTTCATGAGCTGAAATAAAAGATCCCAGAAATGTTTCCCTATGCACAAATAACGTATTTCTCTCAAATTCTGTGCACAAATTTGTTTACGTCCTTATTAGTGAGCATTTCTCATTTGTCAAGATAATCCATCCACCTGACAGGTGTGGCATATCAAGAAGCTGATTAAACAGCATGGTCATTACACAGGTGCACCTTGTGCTGGGGACAATAAAAAGTAACTCTGAAATGTGCAGTTTTGTCACACAACACAATTGGGGGGGGGGGGGGGGGGGGGAGTATTTCTGTCTGTGGGGAAAAACTAATTCTGATTGGCTGGGCCTGGCTCCCCAATGGGTCGGCCTGACTCCCAAGTGGGAGTCCATGGCTGCGCCCCTGCCCAGTCATGTGAAATCCATAGATTAGGGCCTAATGAATTTATTTAAATTGACTGATTTCCTTTTATGAACTGTAACTCAGTTTGTGAAACCCTGTCCTATTGGACAGTAAAAAATAGAATGTCCTGTATGCCCTGTCAGTTAGCTGTTGGGAACATAAAACGACCCAGCTGTATCGGTGTGGTTAGCACAGATAGGCAGGAAAGTAAAATGATGTTTGCATACGCAAAGCCTTACAAGTGTTTGCATTGTGGTGTGAAGATTTTTTTTTTTATTCATTAAATTAAATGGATCTTTCTGTGCTGATTTACAGTGATTTCTAACTGAATCGTGCCATTGTTTTGCCTATGCCTTGTCACTAGCAAAAGAGAAAAGAAAACATGTCTGATTGTACTTACCTGGTGCTACTGTTTGTATTGTTGGTGTTAGCTTCCTCCAAAAGGTACTTCATTCATCATAAAGGTCTTGAAATCAGAGACAGGGAGACCCAGTAATCCATTATGAATTCTTGAGCGATGACAATTGTATCTTGACTACTTTTCTCTCTAACAGTGGGTTTACACGTACAATATGCTAAATCAGCCTACTGTTACTTTGTGTGACATCACCAGACAATTCTGATTCAACCAGCATACCAGCAATGGCCTTTATATACCTTTAGGAGATTCTTACGTGACCTTTCCCTGACCCTCTGTGTGAACCTGGTGTATTAAAGACATCTGTATGTGGTTTTGCTCTATAACAAGTGATGGAGCCTTTGTCTCTCTCTCTGCTGCAGTACAGTCTTTCCTGCTGTTATTAAACATGGCTTTATAATTGCACCTTGTGTCTTCTCTGCTTCTTTGAAGTCTTTAGTTTTGTTATTTTCTCACTTTAAAATGCTAGTATTTTTTAATTGTTAGTCTGATGATGGGTACTATGGTCCCGTGTGGCTCAGTTGGTAGATCATAGCGCTTGCAACGCCAGGGTTGTGGTTTCGATTCCCACGAGGGACCACTGCAAAAAAGTACGTAAAATGTATGCACTGGATAAGAGCGTCTGTTAAATGACTAAAATGTAATTCTACTACCATGTGCAAGAATCCATTGTGCCCATTATGTTAAGACAATCTAACAATGAATTGAAGCATATTATTAAAATGCAGCATTCAATGTCACTCATATATGAAGGAAAGAATTAACAAATACAGATCTTAATTTGAGGCAGTTTGCTACAGCAGGAAAATAATCCAGCAGTGACAGGTTATGTGGATTATAATGGATCTTTTTGTAGCAGTTGATACATTTTTCGTTAGGGAAAATCAAGTCTGAAATTTCAAAGAGGAAATTACTAACTAAAATACACTACAAGTTTTGCATTGCAGGAAAGTTATCCTGCAACAAGATTCTACATCTGTACAAAGGGGATGCAGACCAAGCTCAGCCATAGGATTCCTACCCATTCAGCAGTTTGGTTCTACTCCAGCCATGTGGCCTAAAGAAAGCTACTGAGAGTTATCTATAGCCTAGCCTTGCTTCCTCTCATTACGTGGGGTGTGTGTTTAAACCTTACCATGGTGAGACTAGAATAGGTCTCGGCCCACGTCCGTCTGGGCCCAAGGAACTGGAGAGAGCTAAAAATAGAAGGTGCCGAAACCCGGGTTTCCACTTATCGAGAGAGGAGGCGCTATTTTGAGGATTTGTCAGCCTGAAGCTTGTTCCCCTTGATTTTCTGACCTTGTCTTCGGGCAGCTGGTGGGTAAACATGTTTTTTTCACTATGAGGAAAGTGGTGGATCGTAACCGAAAGAGACATCTGAGCTATTGTTCTCTCTTGCACATGGTTAATCTCTGCAGCTGGGAAAGCCACAGTAAGTACAGTCACTGTGGATGCCTTTAGGCGCCGTGTCCTGCAGAAGCCTGGCTGCACAGTAGCAGTGTATTGATATCAGTGCTAAGCAGGCGTATCAGATGTGAAGCATACAATGTAATCCTGGTAAGCACAATGTCATTGTGTTCCAGGGCGAGCCTGGTGGGCACATTGCTAAGGCCTGGCAGGCCCACTGACCGCGTGCCTCCCTTGGTGAAAGCCTGGCAGTTACAGTGTCAGTGTGTTGGAATGTGCTGATGTGGGTGAGACGGGGAGGGAGGGGGGCAGCGTTGAACCCATCCCAGCACAGTCCTCTGCACTGTTGACGGTCCCACCCCCGCACAGCCCCTCGGTTAGGCCAAGCCACTCACTCACCCCATTCAACAGTGCAGTGGACCATGCCAACCATGACATCTGATCTACTGTCTACTACCCCGAGGATATTGTTACACTGTTGTTACACAAGTTATTCAGCATTTGTATTTGACGTGTTATTTTCTCTAGCTATCTACACTGTTATTCTGCAGTATTTCTTGTATTATTTGTGTAATCTGTTGAGTAAGTGTAACATGTTGAGTGTAATCTGTTGAGTAAGTGTAACATGTTGAGTGTAATCTGTTGAGTAAGTATAACATGTTCCTGTTGAGTAAGTGTAACATGTTGAGTGTAATCTGTTGAGTAAGTTTAACATGTTGAGTGTAATCTGTTGAGTAAGTATAACATGTTCCTGTTGAGTAAGTGTAACATGTTGAGTGTAATCTGTTGAGTAAGTGTAACATATTGAGTGTAATCTGTTGAGTAAGTATAACATGTTCCTGTTGAGTAAGTGTAACATGTTGAGTGTAATCTGTTGAGTAAGTGTAACATGTTGAGTGTAATCTGTTGAGTAAGTATAACATGTTCCTGTTGAGTAAGTGTAACATGTTGAGTGTAATCTGTTGAGTAAGTGTAACATGTTGAGTGTAATCTGTTGAGTAAGTATAACATGTTCCTGTTGAGTAAGTGTAACATGTTGAGTGTAATCTGTTGAGTAAATATAACATGTTACTGTTGAGTAAGTGTAACATGTTGAGTGTAATCTGTTGAGTAAGTGTAACATATTGAGTGTAATCTGTTGAGTAAGTGTAACATATTGAGTGTAATCTGTTGAGTAAATATAACATGTTGAGTGTAATCTGTTGAGTAAGTATAACATGTTGAGTGTAATCTGTTGAGTAAATATAACATGTTGAGTGTAATCTGTTGAGTAAGTGTAACATATTGAGTGTAATCTGTTGAGTAAGTGTAACATATTGAGTGTAATCTGTTGAGTAAATATAACATGTTGAGTGTAATCTGTTGAGTAAGAATAACATGTTGAGTGTAATCTGTTGAGTAAGTATAACATGTTGAGTGTAATCTGTTGAGTAAGTATAACATGTTGATTGTAATCTGTTGAGTGAATATAACATGTTGAGTGTAATCTGTTGAGTAAATATAACATGTTGATAGTAATCTGTTGAGTAAGTGTAACATGTTGAGTGTAATCTGTTGAGTAAGTATAACATGTTGAGTGTAATCTGTTGAGTAAGTATAACATGTTGATTGTAATCTGTTGAGTAAATATAACATGTTGATTGTAATCTGTTGAGTACGTATAACATGTTGAGTGTAATATGTTGAGTAAGTGTAACATATTGAGTGTAATCTGTTGAGTAAGTGTAACATACTGAGTGTAATCTGTTGAGTAAATGTAACATGTTGAGTGTAATCTGTTGAGTAAATATAACATGTTGATTGTAATCTGTTGAGTAAGTGTAACATGTTGATTGTAATCTGTTGAGTAAGTATAACATGTTGATTGAAATCTGTTGAGTAAGTGTAACATATTGAGTGTAATCTGTTGAGTAAGTGTAACATATTGAGTGTAATCTGTTGAGTAAGTATAACATGTTGATTGTAATCTGTTGAGTAAATATAACATGTTGAGTGTAATCTGTTGAGTAAGTATAACATGTTGAGTGTAATCTGTTGAGTAAGTATAACATGTTGAGTGTAATCTGTTGAGTAAGTATAACATGTTGATTGTAATCTGTTGAGTAAATATAACATGTTGATTGTAATCTGTTGAGTAAGTGTAACATGTTGAGTGTAATCTGTTGAGTAAGTGTAACATGTTGAGTGTAATCTGTTGAGTAAGTATAACATGTTGAGTGTAATCTGTTGAGTAAGTATAACATGTTGATTGTAATCTGTTGAGTAAATATAACATGTTGATTGTAATCTGTTGAGTAAGTATAACATGTTGAGTGTAATATGTTGAGTAAGTGTAACATATTGAGTGTAATCTGTTGAGTAAATGTAACATGTTGAGTGTAATCTGTTGAGTAAATATAACATGTTGATTGTAATCTGTTGAGTAAGTGTAACATGTTGATTGTAATCTGTTGAGTAAGTATAACATGTTGATTGAAATCTGTTGAGTAAGTGTAACATATTGAGTGTAATCTGTTGAGTAAGTGTAACATATTGAGTGTAATCTGTTGAGTAACCTGTAAGTGAAAATAAAAATCTCTAAATGTATTCTGCACAGTTACATTGAGTGAAAAATATTATTCAGATTATTTTGATGACCTGAGTCTTTATTGTCCCATACAATCTTCTAAAACCCCCTATACAACCTTCTGCGTATGTTGATGGTAATAACCTGAGTGCACAGGGGTACCCAAGGAGCCGTTTGGGTAGTTACTAAGGGTTGGGGAATGTAAAATTCCTCCTGTGACTGACTTGGACTCCTCCAGTACCAACATAAGCCTTACATCACACCTCACCTACTTTTATCTAAAAATAACCTTTCCCCCAACACCACCAACACAATACCACATGACATCAGTGTCACACCCTCAACCGGTCGGTCACACACCTTAGTTACGACATGGTAACCTTTAACAGTGCTGTTGGGAGGGTCTATCCAGTCCTGTGTTATTAATATATAATATACATTATTATTGATGAAAATATCATAGAATCCATGTAAAAAAAATACTTTGCAGTCTGAGTGAAAAAATATGACAACTATTTTTAAAAAACACCAATAAAATCATGAGTTGTTATATCATTAAACCTATTCTAGAAGATTCTTAAACTCATCTACAATGAGCACATGAGAGCAATGGTTCATTCTCCTCATATCAGATGGTCACTCAGAAACGGGGTTTTCCTGTACAAAGGTGACAAGCTCTTGTGATCATGATTAACCAGGGGAAAGCCTGCTTTGCATCAGCTCTGACATCATCCACACACAACGCCAGCAATAGCTTGTGAAGGAAGGAATGAGGAGAGTGGGTTATACAACCTACATGCACAGCAGTGCCTCCCTTACAAAACTTTCCAAGGATGTAAAGTCATGCGCTCTCCACCACACCTTCCGTGTGAAAGGCTAATAAACAGCAACCGGCTCAAACAGCCTTGCAAGCAGCATGTGTTTGATAACTGGGGTATAGTTTACGCTATAACCTCACTCAGCAGAGGTTTTGTAATATGTTTGTTATATGACGCAAATGATATGTACTATGTTCCCCCTGGATATGCACTATTAGTTGAAGCAGTGAACTTTGTTTATTTTCCATTCTACCTTTATTCACCTGAGCACTCACTATTGTCTTGTTCAATAGATAGTTCTGCATGCAAGTGAACAATCAAAGCATGTGTGTACTGAGCAGAAACCTGGATCATCAAATGTGCACGTGAGCACTGTGTGTGCACTTTGCACATGTGCAGTACTTTTCCTAGCGAGGCAGCAGGTAGGTGTGAGGCATTCAAAGAGGTATGCGGGAAGGGCTCTCAGCTAAACCGTGGGCTGAAATCAGGACGGGTGAAAAGGGGAAGCCATACGGATGAATGAGCACGATCATGCTGACCCAAGCAGAACAAAGTGTGGTGGGGGTGGGGCTATTGTCACCTGGCACGAGGATGTCACTGAGTGCATAGAGGCCAGTGTGACCTCCATGATCCGCACGTGATTCCCTATACAAGTGTTGTGGGGTCAAAGTTCAACTAACTTTGTCACATTTCCAGAAATGTAGAAAAAAATGAATGAGAGGGACCATCGAGTTCTGGCTCCAAAAATACTTTTTATTGACCACAATAATACATTTGTGCTTTTGCTGAGAATTGCATATAGATAATGGTAAAAAATTGCAAACATAAATACATTTAAATATCATAAGAAATAACTTAACTGTAAAAAAAAAAAGAACTTTTCACTTGAGTAAAAAAACAGTTGGCATTGGAAACACTGACTGATTGCATAGTATCTTGAATATTCATTGGATATTTAGCCCTTCCCTTTTTAAATAATTACAAAACAAAAGTAACGACAACATCAACAGTGTGAATAAAAAATGAAATTGCAAAAGTCCAGTGTTTCTACAAGTGCTCTGTTTCTGCAGAGAGAGTCCAAGGCCTTGGTCCTCTTAACAACAGTGCCTATTTTTGTTGCTATCCCTCTTTCAAGTCCCCACGAGGTGAAGTGCTCAGCCATACATGATTTTATACAGTGTGTCCATATTCTGTTAAAAAGCACAGACGTCGGTTTCGGTCTCGTGACCGAACACAAAATGTGCCTCATCTCGCCTCGACTGCCATAGCCGAGAGTTCAACTCCACCAGTCCCAGTGGATATCCTTCCCCTTGTTATCCCATCTAGACGGCTGGGTCTGATCTTTTTTTCTTCTCGAAATGCCTTATTTTGTTGTCGTTTATCTTCTTTTTCCTCCATCAGGAATTTCCCCAGGGTAGTGTGTCCATCAGGGATCACACTACTCCCGTGCAGAGAGAGTACTTCGCAGGCCTTGCTGTTGGGGGGGGGGGGGGAGGGGGGACCCTTCAGCGCTCTGGGAGGTTGATGATGGGCACCCACTGGTCCATGCAACGGCTCTCCCTGCAGAAGCGGTTAACTTTGCTCAGGGCCGGGTCTTTCCAGGACGAGGAGTGTGGGCTCTGCAAAGACAAGAGAAAAAGAGAGTATGAGTCAATAGTTGCACAAGGATCCTAATGCCTGATTTTATGACTTGTAGGCCTATAGGCCTAATATGACAATAGAATAGATAGAAACCAAAGGGGTTTCACGACTACGAGCAATTAAGTTATTTGCCTAAATGAAAATTCCACAAGTGGCAAGTCTAGATGGCAAGACTATGTGGTGCGCTACAGGACACAAGGAGTGAGTAATTACTGGGTGTGGACATGTTCTGGCAAGTTCAGAGCATGAGTGTCTCAAGTGCATCAGTAAACTAAAATAACTTTGGAGCCATTTTTAGCACCCTGGTCTGTTTTAAAGTCACTTTGAAGTCTACATTTAACATATTTTAGTGTATATGAGTGGAAATGGATACTTACAGTGACCAGGACACAGTGCAGGTCCATGGGCTCTCCCCCTTGTTTCCCTCCCCCGCCAAGTATCTCTGCCAGACGCCTGGTGTTGTTCACTCGCAGGATGTTGATGTCATTCTCACAGCAGAATGCCTGGATAAGGGTGAAGTGGATCTGAAGGGCCACGTCCTTTACATCCTCGTCATCCGTTGCCAGGATGCACAGAACCACATTATCTGGATCTCTGGTGAAGAAAGTAACAGACCTTTGGTTAGTAACACAGTAATAGCACATGAATTGCAGACATTCTAAACAGGCATGCATAGACAACAACTACATCATTACAGTTTTAAAGAAGCGTAGCCTACTTACACATTCAATGACTTTGCTGCTTCATAGACCCCTACTGTTATGCATCCTTGGGGTAATGCCGATGAGAGAACCTCTTCCAAGGCTTTTGCCACTGTATCCATCCTACAACAGAGAAAGGAACGAATTGTTAGAATTAACATCAAACTCACATCAACTTTCACATATTCATGGCCAAAGCTCAACTTCTTCAAAAGGAGGTAATGCCAAGGGCTAATCAGTCAGCCTGGCAGACTACAGCCAAGCGCAGGAGCCGGCTTTGGTATACTAGCATTAGCTAGCTAGCTAACAGTACTGTAGGTAGCTACTGTACCTTGAGCTAGCTGCGAGTAAAAGTGATTTGCATGTTGAAACTCTGAAATCGCGTTTGATTTTCGTTGCATGTCACTCCATAATTGACTAAATACGATTGTATGATGAGTACAATGATAGTCAAATACACTGAAACTTTTAGTTCAGGTCAAAGGTGTGCTTCCCTAAAATTACCTGACACCGGCGTTACAGTAGGCTAAACTGCAGTGTCTCGTGAGCTCAACAGAAAAGCTGGCGTTAGCTAGCTAACGTTACATATTCGAATACTGCAAAAAGCTCAACCAAGCCAAGCTAGCTAGCTAATGTTACCTAGCTAGCTAGCTAACTAACCAAACCATATCAAAGTTTAGGTAAAGTTTACTGTAGTTAAAAATCTGAATAAAAATACATTGAAGTTTTGCGCATTCTTTTTCGAAACTTGAATGATTGCATGGCTTGATTGACAAGTTGAAGTGACAGAATAGTCACTCACTAGCAAATTGTACTGACATTGGCAAAAGTAAAAGCGCTTAAAAGTATAGTTTACCTTTCTGTAGAATAATCCCCACTTAGTTCCTCAAATGTCATCTTGCACATAAAATCCAAATAGAAACAATGATATTGCTTGCTGATATGTCACTTTTTGTGCTAGCGAATTTTTTATACTGTACTCCGCTTATCGTTCGCTGTTGAAAATGAAGCAACTCAACTGGTGTCCACGCAGATACTATTGGCAATAATTTGGAGTAATGTCAAACATTTGCATACTTAAGATCATTGGCCACATGCTAATTTACCAAGACCTTTCCGAATAGGGAATGGCTGTAAAATTAGTAGCAACCACTGGTAGCAACAGTAATGAGATAATCTGATTGGAAGACTATTTTAGAGAGGCGCGGTCTGCCTCCAGCTGTTGCATCTACTGTATCTGAGGTAGTGTAAGCATGTTACGAAACCAGTCAAAATGTGAAGGGTAATTTAGTTATTCAAGATAAACGAAAGAAATATTGAAAAAGTTAGCTTAATGCAAATGTTTTATTGCATTCCTATCTGTCAGTGTTGATTTGTGCATTTGGAAAAAGAACACAAGAAAGCATGTAGCAGCCTACTTGTGCTATATCTGGTCTGAGAACATTTGCTTCAGTAACACATTTGCTTCAGTAACCTAAAGATGATGTGCCCACATACACAAACACGTATAGTAGTATCCAAAGGGTGTGAAGAACATGACACACGATGAAAAGTAAAGCGTGGTATCAAGAGGCTACTAGGCTACTCTGAATGCTAAACATCATAGGATGACGCGTGTCAAGAAGTCAAGTTCATCAACCAGAAGAAACAAATATTTTAGCAATTGTATTATTGAAAATTGAAATGGTCTACATCTGATGCTCTGTTCACCTATATTTTGCTAGGAAAATTCTGCAAACCCATCTGTCATGAGAAAGAGCCGCGTGTGAAGATAAAGCAACGAGACGCTACCAAACAGTTTCTGATTGGACAGTCGGCAGAGCGTGCGAAACCGCGACTCCTGGAGGAGAGAGTAGCCTACAAAAGATTGGCTCGAGAAGGGTGAGAATCATGTGAGGTAAATGATATGCTACAACTATGCATGCAAGAAGAAAGATATGGGTCAAGGTCAATGAATATATGATTGTTTTATTTTTCTCTGTTGAAATACATCCGATCAAATACACTTAATACAGTTTAAGAATTTTAATAAAGGCCTACATTTTAGAGTCCAATCTTCAAACAGGAAAGGTGAAGAATTGCAATCTATTATGCCTGTTCTATCTGGTTCAAACCCCACTCTTTTGCCCCTATATAGTCATCTTTACACATTTGTATTTTTGTCGTCTGAATTTGACAGCCTATTTGATGCAAATGCATACCTGGGAGAATGAGTTCAGGTGGTACCAAATTTAAACCTGGGGGATGAAATTTAAAGTATGCTAATCTTTAAAAAAAAAAAACATTTTTTAGGTGGTTTGACACTTTATTCAAACAGTAATGAACTGAGATAGGGAGACATGTCAAATGCTAGAAACAGTGGGAAGGTTGGAAGCAGGGATTGAGCCCTGTTCTCAGGTGTAAAGTTATATGCAGCACGTGCAGGGGAGAGTTACCACTACACCAAGGCTTTGCACATGAAATTGTAATATTAATGGTTGATGGCAGTGGGTAATCAAATAATAGATTGCAGTCTCCTTGTCCATAGACTGCTTTCAAGGTAAGGACACAAACATTTTGTATTTTGTAATTTGGGTGAACTCTCTCTTTAAAATAGGGCTGAAAGAAAATCCTGCTTGCTCTCCAGGAGGGCTGGCCACCCCTGAACTATTTTTCCCAAGTGCTGGGTGTTTGAAAATGTTCTTGTTGTTATAACAATTAATTTCTCAAAATCACCCAACCTTCAAGAAAAATATAATGAATATCAATATTCAGGTGGTTTATGCCTAATAGTTGAAGATCCTTGCAATCATCTTACGCTACATAGACAAAATATGATGTGTTTATAAGCTGTGAGTCCCCCTCCCATCTCTGCCTAGCGTGTGGACAATTCTAAAATTTCAACAATTATATTTGATTCCTGGAGCATTTAATATCCTATGCTTATTTGTGTGACTTATTCAAAACTGGCTGCAAAAATACATAACCTCATATAATTCATGTTCAGACACAGGTAGGCAAATCAGATTTCAAATATGGGATTACACTGGCAACACTGGGAATAAGTGGAATAATACAATAAATGTGGGGAATAACAGTCGTGTTCTTGCTGACAAGCACCGTAATTACCCAATATTTTAGCCCATCGTTACGAATGAGAATTGTTCCACTGATCAGACTAAATAATCAAGTAAATAGATGATACAATCTCCTGAAGACAAGATTACATAAATCTGCCCCTACACCCTAACCAAATAATTTTTCAATTTATTCTCCCACCTCTTGATTCAAATGTACACTTTTGGGTTCACAATCTGTTTGACAAAATTATTTTCATAGTTACAAATCAGATCACCCTACCAAACTTCCCTGCTAAAACATAATGTAGGTCTTTCTGTCTGCTGTCCTTTTGTTGTCACAGCCTAAATGCCAATCAACAAACGACGGGACTAATGCTAAAGTGTGGATTAAATCTACTTCAAAAGGCTGCGTTCTGCAATAGGGACGGGAGCAACAGCAACCTCATTTTGTTGACAACATTGTACATAAAACAGTGTTATGGTGCTGCTCTTCTACCACATGCTGACCACACCGCTCACGCTGCGTGCAAAATAAATGTACACATAGATGTTATTCAATCATTTCATCTAAACTGCTCGTGCACGTCAACGAGCGTCTGCGTAGCCCAGGCGCTAAAATAGAACTTGGTACTATTTTTTACGCATGATGCACTGCAAGTCCCGCCTCACCCATCTCCTCATTGGTTGTTAGGAGCATATACCCACGTGAGTGATTGAAAGCTGACACTCCAGTCCAGTTGGTTGCCAACCGACATATAAAGTCCACAGAAGAAGACTACTACTACATTTTACATTTAGCAGACGCTCTTATCCAGAGCGATTTACAGTTAGTGCATACATTATTTTTTTTATTTTCATACTGCCCCCCCGTGGGAAAAAAATAACAACCCAATGTTTGTATCTCAGGACAAATTAGCTAACAACATGTCCATGAATGTTTCATGTGTTTCAACCTGTCCCCAAATTAATATAGTTTGTTCAGAGTTCGTTTTGATATTTCAGCCTGTGTGACTGTCTTGGATCGCGTCTGGTGTGGACTGTGGATGTACAAGGAAGCACGCGCGTGCTCGGTTTAGACAGCATGTTACAGTTATATAAACTCAGCAGAGAACGTTGTCTCTCTATTAATCTCCACTCTAATCTTGAGGGGCGTTTCTTTAAAGCATGCATCCAATCCCCTTGATCCTTTACATAACTAGACCAATCATATGCTTCAATGTGCCGCGGTTCACAGTGCTGTAGCAAGACAGGACAATGATAGAGGTTCGTGATGTTCAATATCAGGCGCAGATGCTCCGATTTCAAAACGATTTGAAGCACAGTTGAAAAGTTAACGCGCAGACTATACAATGGACTAATTAGAAAAACAAAAGCAGTATTTTTCAACGCGTGAGGTATAAGAGGTGTGACTAGAGAGCGTGAGAAGAGGGTCAAATGCGTGTGTCTCACGGACAATTCGTGAGTTGGCAGCTCTGTGATAGTTTTTAGATTTTGTTTAAGTGTTTAAATGTCTTGTCTTGTAGACCTACACATTTATAGACGTTGACAGTTGGATCCTTTCATATAATGTCCATCGTTACGTCTGCTAAATGACCAATTTTTTTTTTTAATTTTTTTTTATAATGTCCCCTTTTATACACTAGAGGGAGCTAGAGCTTCATTGATCAGAGAGCAGCAGCATGAAGCTCAGTCCTCGAAAACAACTTTGATCTTGGTCTTTTGATGCCATCCGTTTTTCTCAGAGAATATCCAGCTTTACCGCTTCAAGCCTACCTATACTTTCATTTCCGTGGGCTTTTGGTTACACATTTACACATTACTATTGTAATTATTAATTATTAAAACAAATACATTATTTGGAAATGACCAAATCATCAAATCAAATGTTATTTTTCACATACACATGTTTAGCAGATGTTATTGCGGGTGTAGCGAAATGCTTGTGTTCCTAGCTCCAGTAGACTGTTTAGGCGAATAGTATTATACCTATAATAACACATTTTATAATAACAAATTTTCTAATACCATCCCAATGGAAATTTGATATTTTCTATTGTCAAAAT